ATAATTAAAAAGAGCAGTTCTAATCCTCTTGACCTATAGAGACGACCAAACACAAGAGATATCCCCACGTAGTTTCCTTCCATTTTTCTTTGTCTTTCCACCAAATTTATTGTTCCTTGTCTTTTTCTCTAATTTCCTTTCTCCCTTTCTCTCCCAATTTCCCCTTTGAAATTAACAACGCCGCCGTTTAATGGCCACCGCCGCCGCGTCTGATGACGACGACGGCTTCTTCTCTCCGCCGTCAGACAAGCCCTACACTCTCAGCAGCGGAATTATACTCCGCGTAGTTATTGTACTGTTGTTCGTCGTTATTCTCATGATTTGTTTTCATCTCTACGTTCGATTGTACCTCTTCTCCCCCAGCCGCCGGCCATCTCGACCCCGCCGTCGCCCTCGTCCGCATTTTGTTTTCACGGCTGAGCCACGTACTGCCGCTCCGCCACGTGGTTTGCCGCAGTTGGTTGTCAAATCCTTGCCTCTATTCGTTCACTCGGCGAAACCCGACTCGGATCCGATTTATTGCGCGGTTTGTTTATCTGAGTTCGAAGAGAACGAAACCGGGCGGGTTATCCCCAAATGTAATCACAGCTTTCACGTGGGGTGTATTGATATGTGGTTTTATTCGCACGTGACCTGCCCGCTTTGTCGATCCGAGGTAAAATCCGAACCCGAATCTTCTACTAACCCGGTCGAGATAGTTGTGGAAGAACCCGATCGTGGTAATCTGGTTGAGGTGGACGACGTGTCGGAACACGGGCCTCGAGGGCAACGGAGAATTTAGTGAAGGAGATACGACGGAACGGGATTTGAGGAGGAAACGGAGGCGGTGGGTTCAGAAAGATAACGGTCCTGTGGTGGAACACGTTTGGTTGTTGTAAATATCTGTTTTTATACATTTTTTATTAATTAAAATAGTGAATTAAAGGATTATTGTAATTACTTTTTATATTGTTTTCTTTTGTATTTTTAATTTTTTTTTAATGAATAAAATTAAGCAAAAATAGAGAGGCAAGAAAATGTGAAAAACAATTCAATTTATTTGTCGGATCCGATTTGCAACGGTTACATTTAATCAGATTTAAATGCTGAAGTGGCAGAATCAGCCATGTTGGTTCCCTTATCACATCATTCCCGGAGAGTACGGAACTCCCGTGTTCAAAATCCAATCATCGCCGTCGATAAAAATCTTGGGAGTGAAATCGGCGGCCTGTTGCGGCGTAAGAGTTTTAATTCCTTGCCACTTCACTCTATTGGTCAGGTCAGCTCCCGGTCCTTTGTTCTGAAACTCGGCGTAGAACAATGTGTTCAGCCCAAAATCGCCCATCCACGGCAGCCATCCCTCAGGCTGAATTAAATCGTCAATTTCAGAACCCATAATTATGGTTCGTGAAAATTGCTTCCAGGGACGGCCCAAGTAGGCTTTGTTCACGGCTTTGAATGGCAAGTAAGCCGGGTCGCCCATGAAATGGCAGTTTTGGAAAACAAGACCTGTCGGTTCGCGGTTCTCGAGCCGGCCTTGAGCCGTGACAATGCATTGTTGGTTAGCCAATGGCTTACGCACCACCAAATTGCAGTTTTGGAAGACGGCGGCTGAGTTCCCAAAAACAAAGTCAATGGTGCCGCTGACTTTGCAGTCACGGTAAAATTGACGGTGAGTTTGGGCGTAGAGAGTATCTTGGTGGCCGTCCATATGACAGTTGAAGAAAATTGATCTGTCAGATTGGACTCGAAGCGCCACGGCTTGATGTTTCGTCGCACCAGCGGTATTCTCGAACCCCATGTCTCGACAGAAGAAATTGGCTCCGACAACGGCTAATTAAATGCGACAAAAACAACATTAAAAGAAAAGATAATATTTTTTAATATAAACAAAATTAAGACTTTTATTGACTTACCAAATGTTGCTGTCTTGAAGGTTTGAATGCCGTCGACGAAATTCAAACTACCAGACACGACGGTTTTGGTCGGGCCATCACCGTACATTGTAACATGAGTCATAGCCTTAGGAATAAGAACAGTTTCCTTATAAATTCCAGCCTTAACGTAAATCACAAAGGTTATATTGCTCTTCTTCAGTACCTCAACCAACGCTTCATTAATCGTCTTATATTTTCCACTTCCGTCTTGCGCCACCACCACATTCGGTGTGATCGCTGCCGTAGGCACCTGCATCAGCCGCCTCTTTTCGTCGCTAACCCACGACGGCACTTCATCGCCGGCCAACAACCGACGCCCGGCCTTGGATCCTTGCAACGATCCCAACATGTTCTTCAGTTCAGTTACAATTGCAAGACCGTTACTTGTCATTTCTTGAGCTGACTTTAAAAACTTCTTCATTTGTTCCCCGGCATCACCGGTGGTGTTTTCAAAACCATCCAAACATGTTTGTTCATAAGTAAGGGCCCCACTTAACCAGACAGACAAATCCTCGACGAATTTGTCGAGTTTGGCCATTTGAAAGGTGCCGATTCGGTTGAATGAATCGGTTATATCGTCGATAGCATATTCTAGAAGCTCGCGACAATTCTGAAGGGCTTGGTTGGCTCTTGGTTCTTTGGCTAATGCTTGAAGCGTGGTGGAATTTCTAATCGCCGAGTTAAGTTGGTCCATGCAAACTTTGAAGCCGATTTTTACAAGCTCTCTAGGGTCAGTTGTGTTACTGCCTTCAGACATTAAACTCTCCTCGCATGTTTCTTTGTAATCGGTTGGCCGACAAATAGTTTGAATTGCTTTTGTCGATGAAGAAATTTCTCCGGCTCCGTCACCATGACCGTTGCCGAGACCTTCACCTTTGTGAGAGGAGTTGTTAACGCCAACGGTAACGGCAACGACCATGGCCACGAGGAACAGAGAAGAGACGCCTACTAAGGCCATTTTCTTTTTCTCGTTGTCACCTTCGGCGTCAAATCCATTCGACATTATTGGATAAAAATAATATTATTTTTTTTTTGGGTTTTTTTTATTTTATTTTATTTTTTATCAGAGCTGGCGGGGGTTAATGTAGAAGGAAGATTGATTTGCCCCTGTGCTCTGATTTGGATGAGGGGGTGAAAGGTGAATTTAAAGGGAGGAGAGTGAGGTAAAATTAGAAAGTAATTTCAATGGTAACTAATTCTGTTCCTAAATGGGAGGTAAAAATGACACGTAATTTGAATGGTGGTTATTTCTGTTCCCGAGAAATTGGTGGGATTTTATGTTTTTGAGTTATTTTTTAGGTTTGGGAGGTAAAAGTACATCTAAAACTTTCAATAATATTTAAAAAATCCTCTCAAAAATTTTAAAAAATTTAATTAATATCCTTCCATTAAAAATAAAAAATAAAAAATACCTTTTAATACTATATCTAAAATATATGCATAAAATTATAAATACGTTTTAACTTTTATAAAAAAAAAAAAAATTAAAATTTTATCGGCAATGTGTAAAAATAATTAAAATTAAAATTAGTATTTTTGAAATGATTTATGCGTAGGATCGGTAAGATTCTTTTTTAATGCAACTTAAATACACTTACAACCTAACCTAACCAAGATCCCACATCAGTTGGGTACGGAAACAAAACATTCCTCACAAGGGTGTGTAAACTTCACACTATAAGTATTTTTAAAATTTTGAGGGGAAACGGAAAGTGAAAAAAAGACAAGCAGTGGCCTTGGGCAGTTATAAATGGTATCAGAGTCAGACATCGAGCGGTGTAATAACGAGGACGCTGGATCTTTAAAGGAGTAGATTGTGAAATCTCACATCGATTGGAGAGTGGAATGAAACATTTCTTGTAAAGGTGCGATAGACTTCGGCCGTTACACATCAAACACACGTCTATGACTAACTTAAATTTAGATAAAGGGGAACAAATGAGGCAAATGATTACGACCCAACCAAAGCTGAATAGTTGAGACACCAAAATTATTTCCATAAAATATTCGAAAAGTATATAAGATATAAGAATAAAACCAACGTCTAGTAGATTCCATGTTGACACTTCCTCTACTTTTATTTGCAAATCATAGTATCTTTGCTTTTGTATTGTTGCGTGACAATAAATCAACATTTTCAAAATTTTGAGATTAGGATTCGGAGATTCCGTAGAAATATTTATATTTATACTCTTTTTAAGATTACTATTTTAACTCCATTGTTATTAAACTAATAAAAAAAAACCTGATTTGTTCCTCGTACCCCCTTCACTTGCTTCTACGAGAGACTCACTCCGAAGTAGATTCAGATCTTGGAGCGCTCTATAAAGGAAGGGTTTGATAGGTTAAGAACGTTTTCAATATAATTATTTTTTCTATTTGTTTGATGAGAAACGCAAGAGACGAAAAAGGAACCCGTTTTAGCTTCTTTTCTTTCAGGTTATGTTAAAATGTTTAATAGGTTCTAAACTTTTATAGCACCCCATAGATCCTTAAATTTTGCAAATTTTGTTATGCATTTTTACTTATTTCCTCGTTAGTGTATAACAGTCCGTAGCTCGAGTCCCTTGAAAAGCAAGTCGTTATAAATGGTATCAGAGCTAAATATCGACGGCGTGCCAGCAAGGATGCTAGACATTCAAGGGAATGGATTGTGAGATCCCATATCGATTGGAGAGGGAAACTAAGAATTTCTTATAAAAGTGTGGAAACGTCTCTGGAAGACATTTTTAAAATTGTGAAGCTGATAACAATACATAAAAACATATAATATTTAAAGGCAAGGTTCCTTAATTTTTCCACTTGTAACTGCCCCATCCTTGTCATATTCAATAAATTAAAAATTTTAATAATTTATTAGATATTTTTTTTTAACAAAAATGACATAAACCTAAAAATTGGGATAGACATTATTTTATTCTCGGAATAACAAAATGATAAAAGAAATCGTAATCTGTTATTGTTCCATTTGTGGGACCGGAAATTGTCCGGAATTGAAAAAAAAAATGGTCGGAAATTAAGCTTCTTCCAAGTTCCAAGCGCTCTATATAATGGACCACCAAAGCAAATCCAAAACCAAGTAAGGAAATAGAACAAGTTTCGTTGTCTTTCTTGTTGTTGGAAATTATGTCTTTGAGAGATGGAGAAATTAAGGCTCCTCAAGCTGACCAGGTGGCGGCTACCGCGAAGTCGTTGGGTACGGCGGAGCAACCACCGTGGAAGATGAGAGAAAATCCGGTGGTGATCGTGAACCGCTGTCCCGTCGTCTCACCCTCCGGCGGAATCTCGATAACAGTCCTGCCTGGGTATATGCAAATCCAATATAGCACTTTTTTCGTCTAGAACAGGTGCTCATAATGTAAATACATATAAATACGAGTACTTATATGCAATATACATAAATACGTGAAGCTGTCAATCGTTTTCTTCTTGAATTGAACTATATTTAAATTGATAAACTTCGACTATTTTTATTTAGTTTAACTTACTTTTGTGTAGATGTAATTTGTTGAACCAAGAATTTGCTACAGGTTCACGTTAGTTTCCAATCATGGTTGATAGTACTCATGTGGCCAAGGATCAAAGTAGTATGACGTTGAGCTGAGACGAGCTAATGTCGTTGGGCATTCTTAAAAAGAGGAAGTTATGCTCTAGTGCAATTACATACCGTTTTAATAAATAATATATAGAAGGTATTTTACGTATTGAGTCCATGTAATTTGTATATATGATACCTTAGCAAAAGATTTACTGAATCCCGATAAAGGGAGAACTAAAGTAAACGTGCTAAGTTAGAATGTAAAGATGTCGATGGTAATGAGATACAACGCAACACTGTAACTTTATACTAAGAGATCTTACACGTCTATCATATTGATATTCGTAAGCGTTTTACTTTTGCTCTACTCAATGTCACAATAGCACTTTCTAAACCGTGGACTAGTGATTGTGTGTGCTTGTTCTAATTCAATAAATAAGTAAACCGAAAAATCAAGCATATAATCGAGCCTCAAGTCATGTTCGGAGAGAAAAGGTTTTAGAAAATCGAGAATTTATTTTGAAGTAACTTAAATTAAACGTGCGTGGAAGTCAATTGATAATAAAATACAATATTTGGTGGGAGAAGGTTTGATCACTACTTAATCCATTCAATCTTCCAGTTCGATTTAGAACTTCGGGGTCCGGATGCTCCCCACTCAACGATCCTTCTCCCAACTGGATCAATCGACCTCCAAAAGAGACGATGCTCCTTGATGGCTGCGAATACGAGCACAGGCTGATTGTGATGGAGTTTCCAAATGAACAGAAGCCAACGGAAGAGGAGATGGTGAATTCTTATGTCAAAACTCTTGCAGCAGTAGTCGGAAGGCATCGGATTAAAAACGGATTGTCACAATTTAGTGCAACTTATTTTAGTTTGAATTAGTTATGGAATATATGATATTCGTAATCTTCTAGAATATATTAGTTAGGAAATATATCTTAGATATCTTAATCCGTTGAATTTGAATAGTAGTATATTTTATTTTATTATCAGGATTTAGTTAGTTTATATTTTCTTGGTAGATATTATTCAGTATCTTGTATCCTATTTAAAGGTCGTGAATATCAATGAAGATAGAACATTCGATCCCAATTCTTTTCCTCATTCTTAAATCTGTATTCTTTCGTTGAGTAATAATATTTTCATATCTATGCACACTTTTGAGTGGTAGATATTGCGACAGTTGGTATCAGAGCCAAGTTGGTACGGTTTAATATTATTACTCAACGAGATGAATAGTGGGAGTGCTTCTATGGGTGTAGCTATGGAAAAGCTGGTTGGCAATAACTATAGTTATTGGAAGTTATGCATGGAAGCTTATCTACAAGGGCAAGATTTATGGGATTTAATTGAAGGTGATGACACAGAAATTCCAGCCGATACTCCACAAAATGCAAAATTACGTCAACAATGGAAGATCAAGTGCGGAAAAGCCTTATTTAGCTTGCGAACTTTGATTAGCAAGGAGTATATTGATCATGTTCGTGATTTAAAGTCACCAAAGCAAGTATGGGATACACTTCAAAAGTTGTTCACTAAGAAAAATACCGCTCGACTGCAATTTCTAGAGAATGAACTAGCTATGGTAACTCAAGGTAATTTTTCTGTTGAAGAATATTTTTTGAAAGTGAAAAATCTATGTTCTGAAATTTCAGAATTAGATGCTGAGGAGCCAGTGAGTGAGGCTCGATTACGGCGTTATCTTATTCGTGGATTACGAAAAGAGTTTATGCCCTTTGTTTCCTCAATACAAGGGTGGGCAAATCAACCTACGGTAATTGAATTGGAGAATCTTCTTTCCAATCAGGAAGCCTTGATTAAGCAAATGACTAGCAGCAACGAGTTTTCCCCAAAGTTAGAAGGTGTGTTGTATGTCAAAGATCAAAGGAGACAGAATTTTCACTCAAGGCCTTCATCTAGCAATGAGAATCAATTCAGAAGTGACGAGTCGTCAAAGAAGCCATTTAAAGCTTGTTACAGGTGTGGAAAACCAGGCCACTTTAAACGAGATTGTCAGGCGAAAGTGGTGTGTGATCATTGCGGAAAGCCAGGCCATATTAAACCAAATTGTCGAGTCAAGATGCAAGAATCAGAAGCAAATGCGGTACATGAAAATAAAAGTTCTCCAGATCCAATTTGGGAATATTGCTTAACCACTGAGGTTCTTGACCAGCCAACAAACGTGACTTCAGCCGTATATCAAGATGATGTTTCTACAGGTGATCAAAATTCTAATTCCACTACTTACGCTTCTGAGTTTGATTCTCTCCAAATTTCGCATCTGGACTCTCTCTTTTTCTCCGATTTCAATTCTATTGTCCCTGATGACCCTTCTGTTTACTCCACGGCCTTGGATTTGAGATTCGACGAAAATGAAGTTGTCGAGCTAACGTTTGACGATCTTGACGGTCTTTACCTCCCCTCTGAGGCTGACGATTTTCTCATCTTGGAGAATTTAGATCAAACTACCAATTTGCAGGATTCGGCTACTGATGCTCCGCCCCAGTCTGACCCAGAAATAGCTGCACTGCTTGATGATGATGATTTATCACGATTTGGTTCTGATGTTGAGGACTTGGAGGAGGATTTCGTAGTTCAGGTAAATTTATGTGAAGAAGGGGAGGATGGTTCAATGGATAATAAGTTTAGTGTGGCTAAGGATTCTGAGAAGGCGACAGGAAGCCAGAATATTATTAATAATAAATCTTTTGGCGATGACATTTTTGAGGATGCAGATGTTGATCATGTGGAGGATGATGTTGATAAGCCACGAACTCGACAGCTTTTGGATGATCGATTTGATACCCTCTTAAGTCAGGACTATGCATCTAGTGACAACGGTGACAGTGCTTGTGATGAGCATGATGGTTGGGTAGCTGAAGAAGATGAGTCCCTTGCTCAAAAGCTCAAGCATGCCCTTGATGATCATAGTAAGGATGACTTGGACCTTGACCAAGGATATAAAGCTTCTGCAGATCAAGAGCTTTTGCAGTCTACCAGTGATGTAATTCACCGGTGTATGGAGTATGCTGAGTCTGCACAAGTTGAGATGAATTATTACTCTTTCTCATTAGAATTGAATCGCTGCGATGTGGAACTTATTAAGAAGGAAATCATTGAACATGATGTGTCAGTGTCTTATTCAGGTGGTGGCGTGCCTAAGAAGTCCATACGCAAGCCTAACTGGAAGAAATTCTTCGTAGATTATTTTGTTCGAGAGAATGTGTTAACGCAGGATGTTGAATTGCAGGAAATACATACTAATGAGCAAGTTGCAGACATATTTACTAAGGCACTTGCCAAAGTGAAGTTTGAAGTTTTTCGTAGAAGCTCTCGGAGTTATTGAGAAATAAGCTTGCACTAAGGGAGGATGTCACAATTTAGTGCAACTTATTTTAGTTTGAATTAGTTATGGAATATATGATATTCGTAATCTTCCAGAATATATTAGTTAGGAAATATATTTTAGATATCGTAATCAGTTGAATTTGAATAGTAGTATATTTTATTTTATTATCAGGATTTAGTTAGTTTATATTTTCTTGGTAGATATTATTCAGTATCTTGTATCCTATTTAAAGGTCGTGAATATCAATGAAGATAGAACATTCGATCCCAATTCTTTTCCTCATTCTTAAATCTGTATTCTTTCGTTGAGTAATAATATTTTCATATCTATGCACACTTTTGAGTGGTAGATATTGCGACAGTTGGTATCAGAGCCAAGTTGGTACGGTTTAATATTATTACTCAACGAGATGAATAGTGGGAGTGCTTCTATGGGTGTAGCTATGGAAAAGCTGGTTGGCAATAACTATAGTTATTGGAAGTTATGCATGGAAGCTTATCTACAAGGGCAAGATTTATGGGATTTAATTGAAGGTGATGACACAGAAATTCCAGCCGATACTCCACAAAATGCAAAATTACGTCAACAATGGAAGATCAAGTGCGGAAAAGCCTTATTTACCTTGCGGACTTTGATTAGCAAGGAGTATATTGATCATGTTCGTGATTTAAAGTCACCAAAGCAAGTATGGGATACACTTCAAAAGTTGTTCACTAAGAAAAATACCGCTCGACTGCAATTTCTAGAGAATGAACTAGCTATGGTAACTCAAGGTAATTTTTCTGTTGAAGAATATTTTTTGAAAGTGAAAAATCTGTGTTCTGAAATTTCAGAATTAGATGCTGAGGAGCCAGTGAGTGAGGCTCGATTACGGCGTTATCTTATTCGTGGATTACGAAAAGAGTTTATGCCCTTTGTTTCCTCAATACAAGGGTGGGCAAATCAACCTACGGTAATTGAATTGGAGAATCTTCTTTCCAATCAGGAAGCCTTGATTAAGCAAATGACTAGCAGCAACGAGTTTTCCCCAAAGTTAGAAGGTGTGTTGTATGTCAAAGATCAAAGGAGACATAATTTTCACTCAAGGCCTTCATCTAGCAATGAGAATCAATTCAGAAGTGACGAGTCGTCAAAGAAGCCATTTAAAGCTTGTTACAGGTGTGGAAAACCAGGCCACTTTAAACGAGATTGTCAGGCGAAAGTGGTGTGTGATCATTGCGGAAAGCCAGGCCATATTAAACCAAATTGTCGAGTCAAGATGCAAGAATCAGAAGCAAATGCGGTACATGAAAATAAAAGTTCTCCAGATCCAATTTGGGAATATTGCTTAACCACTGAGGTTCTTGACCAGCCAACAAACGTGACTTCAGCCGTATATCAAGATGATGTTTCTACAGGTGATCAAAATTCTAATTCCACTACTTACGCTTCTGAGTTTGATTCTCTCCAAATTTCGCATCTGGACTCTCTTTTTTTCTCCGATTTCAATTCTATTGTCCCTGATGACCCTTCTGTTTACTCCACGGCCTTGGATTTGAGATTCAACGAAAATGAAGTTGTCGAGCTAACGTTTGACGATCTTGACGGTCTTTACCTCCCCTCTGAGGCTGACGATTTTCTCATCTTGGAGAATTTAGATCAAACTACCAATTTGCAGGATTCGGCTACTGATGCTCCGCCCCAGTCTGACCCAGAAATAGCTGTACTGCTTGATGATGATGATTTATCACGATTTGGTTCTGATGTTGAGAACTTGGAGGAGGATTTCGTAGTTCAGGTAAATTTATGTGAAGAAGGGGAGGATGGTTCAATGGATAATAAGTTTAGTGTGGCTAAGGATTCTGAGAAGGCGACAGGAAGCCAGAATATTATTAATAATAAATCTTTTGGCGATGACATTTTTGAGGATGCAGATGTTGATCATGTGGAGGATGATGTTGATAAGCCACGAACTCGACAGCTTTTGGATGATCGATTTGATACCCTCTTAAGTCAGGACTATGCATCTAGTGACAACGGTGACAGTGCTTGTGATGAGCATGATGGTTGGGTAGCTGAAGAAGATGAGTCCCTTGCTCAAAAGCTCAAGCATGCCCTTGATGATCATAGTAAGGATGACTTGGACCTTGACCAAGGATATAAAGCTTCTGCAGATCAAGAGCTTTTGCAGTCTACCAGTGATGTAATTCACCGGTGTATGGAGTATGCTGAGTCTGCACAAGTTGAGATGAATTATTACTCTTTCTCATTAGAATTGAATCGCTGCGATGTGGAACTTATTAAGAAGGAAATCATTGAACATGATGTGTCAGTGTCTTATTCAGGTGGTGGCGTGCCTAAGAAGTCCATACGCAAGCCTAACTGGAAGAAATTCTTCGTAGATTATTTTGTTCGAGAGAACGTGTTAACGCAGGATGTTGAATTGCAGGAAATACATACTAATGAGCAAGTTGCAGACATATTTACTAAGGCACTTGCCAAAGTGAAGTTTGGAGTTTTTCGTAGAAGCTCTCGGAGTTATTGAGAAATAAGCTTGCACTAAGGGAGGCTGTCACAATTTAGTGCAACTTATTTTAGTTTGAATTAGTTATGGAATATATGATATTCGTAATCTTCTAGAATATATTAGTTAGGAAATATATCTTAGATATCTTAATCCGTTGAATTTGAATAGTAGTATATTTTATTTTATTATCAGGATTTAGTTAGTTTATATTTTCTTGGTAGATATTATTCAGTATCTTGTATCCTATTTAAAGGTCGTGAATATCAATGAAGATAGAACATTCGATCCCAATTCTTTTCCTCATTCTTAAATCTGTATTCTTTCGTTGAGTAATAATATTTTCATATCTATGCACACTTTTGAGTGGTAGATATTGCGACACGGATTGTAAATGGATTACTTCTCGGTGTGTTTTTTGCGTGCATTTTCTTCTCTGTTGATTTTAGGTTTTTCGCGTTCTTTTGATTTTCAGTGAGGAAGAGGCGAGGAAGGAAATATACTCTGTCAGTACATCTACCTATACTGGCTTTGGTGCCTTGATTCGGGAAGAGCTTTCTTACAAGGCGATTTTGTGCGTATTCGTGGTATGGTTAGATTAAGGAACCCTAGGAAGCGGATTTACTCGTCTTGTAGATATTGGAATTGTGTCGATTATTTAGATTGCAATTGAAGATTGAAGCGTAGTTTTGAATCAATCGCATGAATATGTTTGATGAAAGTTCCCATATAAATTTGAATGGTTGAGAAATTTTCCTTTCTGTTTCGAAGTTTGCTGCAGAATTGACTGGTGTTTTAGTTTGATAATCTGTGTGTTGCTAGCATTAAGGTTTGGCATTTGTGTTATCTTGGTGATGAATTAGCCCAATGATCAACCAGTTTATAGGAAATGCTACCTACTTAGTTTCTTTCCCAATTAAATGCTACCTACTTAGTTGGCTCAAACACTAGTCTTTTGTAAAGAACAAGATTAAGGAGCCTTGTCAATCAGATTTTCTCATCTTGAAACCTTGGATTATAATTGATGATTGAAAGTGTGCGTTTGAGCTGAAGCACGCAATTGTTGTTTGCTTTTGAATCTACTTGATCAACTCGATTTTAGTTCAATTGTTTTGCGTGTTACCACGATGAATGTTGGACGTTTGCATTATTTTGTGATAATTTTTATTTAGATTTTGTAAAGAACAATATTGGCATCTGACTTTGAGCGAAATGAAACAGAATTGGCAGGCTTCTATGGGTTTTACCTGATTCATATCTCGATGTTCCAAACGCAGGTTATGGAGGTGATTTACTCTTCTAACGCTATCGAATTAATTGTAATTGGAACTGAAACCTGTTGATATATCAAATCAATGCTCATTGTTTGTACCAATCATTCATCTTGATTTCAGGTGATCTGTTTATTGTTGGAAAGGTCATCGCCAGAGACAACAAAGTGGTAGAAATAGACCTCATCCATGGTACGATAGATGTCGAGAAACTGTGCATATTGAACGGAGGCAACCAATATTGAGGATTGTTGAAATATCGTATACTTAAAGTAAGGAATACTATCTCCATTGGTAAAGTCATGGAAATTTATGCCTTAATGTAAACAATATCATATCATTGCGATGAAACCCGAATGTGGTTCCTAACATTTATGCCTTAATGTAAACAATATCATATCATTGCTCCGTGGTTCCTAACAGCCAATTCAGGTACAAAGCTTGGGACAAGACCATAGAAACCCGAATGGTCAAAATTCAGATCGAAATGGAGTCGGAAATATCTTGGCAAATCTTAATTGAAGCAATCACGGAGTGATGGATGCTTTGAGTATCTTATCTATTGACTCCTTAATCCATGAAGTCTAGGCAGGTATGAGATTTCTATTAGTTCTTAATGCATTTAGATCAAGTCTAGTACTCACATATCTGGAATGCCCTCGAATAAAGTACACGACACCCAATTGCTCTTCTATGTTTCAATTTTATGTTTTTGTTCTTTTGCAGTAAAATAAAATTATTAAAAAAAGAAAAGAAAAAAAAGAGGGACGGATCAAAATTAGACACACATTCGTTCTTCTGATAGAACTGAATTAAATAATTGTGGAAAAGAGTGAATTTTTTGTCGTTATATTCGTATACTCCAAAAAATAAAATAATAAAATAAATGAAAAGGGTGTGTTTGTTATACAACTCATCATTCATCTTCTTCCCTTAACAGTTTCAAGGATGATTATGTCATGAACTCATCAACTTGCCACTGCCACAATTCTCTTCCTTCAACGTTTGGATAGAACCTTACGTGTTTGTGTGTATATATTTATAATTTAGATTTATCAATTATGAATTTTATAATATGTTATGAGTTCAAAAAATGCAGGTTTTCTTAAAATGTATTTTAACATTAGGATCGTTTCTTACTTATAAATTTATGATAATGTCTTTAAGTAGCCCAGATGAGATATAATGTACACTGTAGAGCATCCACAAAGGCTTGATTTTCTAGAGCTATCCTATAGTCTCTCCATAAACGAGACTCGACTCCTTCTCTATAGTCCTCGAACAAAGAACACCATTTGTTCGATACTTGAGAGTCACTTTGACTATACTTTCGAAACTCACGACTTCTTTGTTCGACACTTGAAAATTCTTCTGTCATGACTAAGTTAAACCATGACTCTATATTTTGTTAGGAATAACGAACGTCTACAATGACATGATACTGTTCACTTTAAACCTAAGTTCTTATGATCTTTCTTTTAGTTTTCTCAAAAGTTCTAGTACCAATAGAGATTGTGTTCCTTAAGCCCTAAATTTTCCTTTAATTAGTCGACTACCCCTCCTAATAATCTTCAACAAAACTTCTCATAAAATAATAATAAATAATAAAGAGAGGATATGAAAATGATTGATATTTTTATGGGTTTATTACATAATTAGACCATTACAAATTTACAAATGTCAATATTTTTTTAAAAAAGAAAATCAACTTTATTTTCTCCCAATTTACAAATTTACATATATGCACATTTAGTTATTGTTTTAATTAATTATAATCTTGATTAAAAATGGAAAAGAAAAAAAAATAAATGTGTATTTTCTCTCGATGGAATATTCTATTTATGTTTTTCTCACTCGATTCACCTACCAAAAAATTCGAAGGTAAGTCAATGTATCCCATTCTAATCTTAACTATGGTAGGACAATTAAATTAATATATATATATATATACTTATTTATTTATATTATTAGAATTAGGAAGAACTTTGTGTTTAAAATAAAATAAGTTTGTTTTTATTAGGTAAAAGTTTAGATATGTAATTAAGTATAATTTATATGTAGTGAACAATTTCTTATAACTTTTTTTCTATAGAATAGCATAATAAATATGCAAAAAAAAATCAAGAAGAAAATTGACTTAAAAAAAGGGTTTTGACATTTGAACTATAGGTTTGGAAATAAAATATTTGACATAATTATTATAATTTTATTCATTAAAATTCCCGAACAAATTTTAATAAAGAACACTCTCGCTTCCTTCCACCCTCCGAAAAAAATATTAAAATAATCCTGCCGACGTCCGGTTCTTTCTATGAGCCATTCACAATCTGCCACGTATTAATTTAGTCGCCCCATCCCTTACAAGGAAGCAGCCTTTCACGCCTTTCAAGACTGCCAGACTGTACGGCCACCGTCATAAAGTAAACAATCCTTCATTACGCCTCTTTAATATTTATCTCCCAAACAATATTATAATTTTTATTTAGGACAAAAACAATTCAGATCAAGAAATTCGTCCATTAATTTAAATACCTAAAATATATTTTTCAGCCTTTTGGTCTTAATTTCTCCATCGAAATTAAATAATTAATTTTAAATTTTAATTTCTAGATTCCAAACACTTTCATCATAATTAAATTATTACATAGTAAATTTTGGGAAGTAAATTATTCATTTAATAAAAATTATATGTTATTTAAGTCGTTATGTTACCTTTTGCTTATTGTTACATAAAGTTGGTTTCAAATTCGCTTTCGAAAAACACTCTATCTCTTCTCAAGACGGAGTTAGAGGCTTGAGCATACGTTGACCGGTTGTAAGCGAAGCAAATCTGAGTTGATTTAACTCACACGTTATTGGACGTGAAAGCAATTATGACAAGTGGTATCCAGTCAAGAAAAAGAGCATAAGTTCAAATCCCGCTCCGTATATGGCAACCTTGGACAGCTACCAAACTCATCGGTTATACTTCCTTACCTCACAAGCTTCCATATAAAAAAGCTTCCCTCATTCGTCCGTTTTTCCGATTCCACAACCTTGCTCATACATCACCTCTATCCGCCAATTCCATCCCTAAAGCTTACGCTATTTTTTATTTTAAATTTAAATTTAAACTATTAATGATACTTGTCGGATTCTTATCGGGTGTCGTTAAGGCCCAACCCGACTTTTACGGCCCAAAATGAAGGCCCATTATTAATTTTCTCTACTTTATCTATATATATTCCATATTAGGACGCTCTTTCTAAACCTCTCCAATCTGCGAAAGATGTGCGGCGGTTCACTCATCTCTGGGATTATAGAAAAAAAGCGCGGTCGGAAGCTTCGTAATGGATCTCTCTGGCCCGACACCGACCATTTTTCCGACCTCCTCGGCCTTGATTATTGCGCCCGTATATTGCGCTCTCTTTAATTTTTGTTTGTTTTTTTAAATTTAATATATATTTTATTCGGATAATTTTAATATATATTTAAGAAATCCCGTTAGGGATATTGAACTGTGATTTGTTTACTGATTTTGTAGTGAAGACTGAGACATCTCAGAAAGAATGCCGAGCTACGGCGGTGCCGGAGCCGGAGAAGACTCGAAAAGCTCGGAAGAATATATACAGAGGAATCCGGCAGCGGCCGTGGGGGAAATGGGCGGCGGAGATTCGAGACCCACAAAAAGGCGTTAGAGTTTGGCTTGGCACTTTCAACACTGCCGAGGAAGCCGCCAGAGCCTACGATGAAGCGGCAAAAAGGATCCGAGGAGAAAAGGCTAAACTCAACTTCGCTCCTCGTCCGCAACCGTTACCGGTGTCGCAGCCTCCGGCTAAAAAGCGCTGCGTCGCTCATGAGTTAACTTCAGATTGTTTCAGTTCCACCAGTCCGGCGCCGGCGAGTACACGTGTGAATAACTCGTGTGAGATCGACGGGCTTTACTACGGCGAGGAATTGGCGAGTTTGAGATCTTTCTTGGATCTGGATTTTGAGGAAGAGCAAGAACCGAGTCAAGTCGGTGGGAGCGATGAGTTTGGCCAAGCTGTGGAGCTTTGGATGATGGACGATCCGTCGTTGAATGAGGAGAAATTTGGTGAAGTGGTGTAACTGAGATAAACTCATTGGTCCGACATGTCGTTTACTACTAAGTACTGGTGTAATATTTTATGTATTTTTGTTTCGGCTTTTTGAGCTTAGTTTTGTAGATATACATAGATAGGTTCAATAAAAAGCTTGTGATATGAAACTCGCTTGTGCTTTTGCCTTCTTTCGTCTTTTGAAACGACATGTCGGTTCCTGTATCAGATCAGACTGCTTCTATTTTTAATATTCACCATGTTGAGTGGTTTGTGTGTGTTTGACCCGTTTGTCGGATGCCTCTTTCCTTGTGTCGTCTCGCCTTAGTCACAAATTACATTACCTTAATAATATTTTTATTTATTTATGTATTTATTTATTTGATGTGAAATAATATTTAAAAAGGTTGAAGAGCACTGAGACGAAATATTTGAAAGAGGGAAAATTGAGATCCAAAGTGGGGCCTGAGATGAAGAAGAGGGTTGAAAGAGAGGAGAATTAAATTTGTGGTTTGTTCTTAGGCTGATTTCAAAATATCAAGATGGATTTTGTTTTGACATCTTCATCATTGCATCTAATTCTTTTAAATTCAACGGATTCACTATGTTTTTATTTATTTATTTCTTTCTTGGTTTTTTTTTATTTATTTATTTCTTTCTGATCAGCCTATGTTTGTTGCTTCCGAATTAAATTAACCATGTTTTGGTACTATTTTTTTCACCCATCCAATCCGTATATATACTATATATGTTCTCAAAATAATAGGGGTCACCGTCATTTAGAGGAAAACATCCTCATTCAGAGGAAAACATCCCCGAATCACTAGCCAAAGCCCCTGAATGATCGCTCAGTGATAAAGGAGGTACAGGTGCGACCATCCTTAAAAGAGTGCGTAATAGCTCGCTGATCGAGCACTCTTACACCAAAGATGAACGGGTCTAAGTTGTGGAAAGTAAAAATGCATCGCCCAAAAATCTAGCTGACTACTCCACTGTATAAATATATCAAATTACGCGTAACTAATACATTGTATCTAAACATGTTTATTGGGAATATGCAAAATGTGTTTATTGAAAGTTGAAATGGTTTCTTGCAAAATTGTGTTTTAAGTTCATTTGAGTTTTAAAAAGAATAAAAGAGGAATGGAAAAGCTTTGGAATGAGTATAGCATTGACAATTGGCTCCAAAACCCATCATCGGCAAGTTGATGATGACTGAAAAGACTACACAAACTCTCTCAGATATGAATTAAAATCCTTCTTCAGTTCCTATCGATCAGGCAAACGAGTACTGAAATAAAAGCGAAGTTGAATCCAAAACAAATGTTCAACAAAAGTTAGTGTTTTTTTTAATGTAGAAGCTGATAAAGTGATAAAAGTGGAGGTAGATAGATCAACCACACCCTCAATTTTCCACATTCCATAAAAATAAAAATACCCCACGCCCGCTACCAATAGATATTATCTTCCTTGGACTTTCCCTTCTATATTTTCCCTCAAACGAGAGATTTTCACATGTTTCACCAACCGATGTAGTATCCCACGTAAAGGTTAACTCGGGCATAGTTCATCCAATCTCGACATATACCCTCCATCAAAAAGCTGGGGGTTGAACTTAAAAAGAATACACACATACAGCAGCAGACGTAACAGTAGACTACACAAAAAGGTGCTCAACTTGCCAAATGGTAAAAAAAATTGGCCAACCACAATATTAGGAATCAAATTATAACAATGATTCTCCTCCCAATCCATTCAGAGGAGGTCAAATTCATGCATTAAGAACATATGTAAAGCAAGACACAAAAAAAGAGAATAGCATTTTGAAGAGAGAGACAGAATAACGTGCCAAACGATGAAACCAGGCAGTTCTAAGAAAGGTGAAACCAATGGGTGAAAAACAAGCAAAGGTTTTCCGCCCACAGAATTCTTCTCATGGGCTGAAACGGTTGTCCGTTATAAGAATGATGAAGAACCAGTCACACAGAGCTGAACTAAATGCCTTAAGGAGCTAAGAAACAATCAGAGATTGTTATGGCACAGATTTCCATGTGTAATTTCGAACCAATTTACTGAGATAAAACAATGTGAGTATATACAGAGATATGTATGTATGCATAGCAACTGTGAAGAATCGAATACAAGAGATTTATAGCCAGATTTCTGTTTCGGAGATTGATCATTGAGAGGAGAATTGTACCAATCAACACACAGAGATTAATCTCATGGACAATTTTCCTCGTTCGGAGTTCCTGATTGCTTCACCTGCAAATCTAATAACCTTCTTGAATGCGAAATGCACACAATTTGAGAGCGCGATCCAATAAACCACCTCGTAAACGAAATAATACGCCGGATTAGAAGAAGAGGATGGAGATTCTTCCCAATCACTCCCCCCAAATCTATCGAAATTCCAGCCACTTCCGCCGCTACCGCCACCTCCGCCGTACGATCCGTCAAAATCGCCGCCGCCGAATCCGTTGACTTCGCCGCCCTCGGAGTCATCGCTGTACAATCTACGCTTCGTGCGGCGCTTTCTACGGAGAAACGTCCGAGAGGCCGATCGGCGTGAAATAGATTTGACAGGCGGCGGAGCAATGGTTGCGACGGGGAACAGTGCGGCTGATAACTGAAGAGCTCCGGCGGCGGAATACGGCGCGATCTGGTCGGCGATCGAATCGGTGGCGGAGATGTAGTAATTGGATACGAAATCGAAGCGATTGAGGAATTTGGCGAAGCCAACGCCATTGTTGGCAACCATTGAAAGGGTTCCCGCGACCAGGGAGGTATCCATTGAAATGGAAGGATTTCAAATTGCAAAAGAATAATAATAATAATTGGGATTTCGAATACGAGAAATCTAGGGATTTAAAATATGAAGGAAATTGAAGTGAAAATAGAAGGAAAATCGAAGAGGAAAGGTTGTAGAAGGTGAACGAGCCACGCCACGACATTGGAATCCGAAGACGCCGCGTGTTCAAAACGCGAGGCTAGACCAATTCGCTCACGGCAATGGTCCGCCGTCCCAACCTATTGGGCCTGATGGGCCTGATTTTTAAGTTGGGTATTGGATAAGGAAGTAGAGAAGGCCCATATATGGCCCGATTAATTGGAAATAATTTAAAATATGAGAAACGACAGGATTATCAAATCCGGCATGATCGACGGCGTTAAGGCAAGTGCTGGCGTTCATTTTGGCTGTCTTGATAACACTGATGCCACGTGTTTGTAGGAGCAAAAAGTGCAAACGCGACATATATATATATTAAATTTGGATCCTGGAGAAGTGTTGAGAAGACTCTTAAATTATATTTTTATGGTATAAAACTTTTATATAAACTTCTGAATAAATTTATTTAAACTTAAAAAAAAAAAGCGAACCCCCAAAAGTTTAAAATAGAGAGTGGAATTGGATCGTAAATTATATTTAAGTCACAGCCCACCGCGAATCCCAAATTATGAGTTGGCAAAAAAAAAGTTCAACTTCATGGTATCATTTGTTACGACCTAAGTCCACCATTAGTAGATATTCTCTGTTTTAGTTCGTTACGTATTGCCATCAGGCTCACGATTTTAAAACGTGTCTATTATGGGGAGGGTTTAGTCTACTCTGATTAGCACCTCACACCGTTTGATGATTGGCTATGATACCATTTTGGTAATAATTTGAGACCACTACTAATAGATATTGTCTACTTTAGCTTGTTACGTATCGTCGTTAGCCTCACAATTTTAAAGCGCAGCTAATAGGGAGAGATTTTTCAACAGTTATAAGGAATGCTCATTTCTTCAAGCAATGCGAAATCTCACAATCTACCTCACTTGGGACTCTACATTCTCGCCAGTATACTGTCTGGTATTTAGCTCTAATACCATTTCGAATACGTCTCGGTTGAAAATTCACCACCTATTTTATAAAAAAAAATTAAAATGGAAAGAAAATATAACTAAGTAATAGTATTAACCCTTTACGTGAAGTATAAATGAGTCGTTCCAAGACTTGACCTCCAACAGTCACCTTATATATTTATACCTTGACCGGTCTTGAAAAATGACGTATTAATATTATACTATCAATAATATATTTTTATTAAAATATTAATCGCATTTAAAAAAAAAAAAAAACAATATTATTCATACACTACTTAAGCAAACTAACCATGGATTTCTCAAATTTGAGCGTAAAAAAAAGAAAATAAATAAATTTACAACGACCAGACAAAATGAATTTCCGTCGATCTTCTTCTCCATTGTGGATTGACCCGAAGCCCACGTTACCATAAAACCCGCGAAATTCAGACTTTGACGTGTTTCGTGTTGCTTGCAGTTCACAGGCAGGAAAAGGAGAAGGAAAAAGCCTTCAACAAGAAGACGATTCGCGATTTCCCGTTTCTCGAATTTTCTGTGGATAAACAATCTTCAATTGTGGCCGAATTCGATCAAATCAGGCTGCTGTGGCGTTGGACGGATTAGGAATGGGATCGGAGCAGTTGATGGCCGGAGGTGGGCCTCGATATGTTCAAATGCAATCGGAGCAGCCTACAGCTTCGATGTCGTCGTTTTTCTCGTTTCATCATGACGCTCCTGAGCCAACGAGGATTTTCGATGAATTGCCGAAGGCCTCAATTATTTCCGTTTCTCGCCCGGATGCCGGTGATATCAGTCCGATGCTTCTTTCTTACACAATCGAATGCCAGTACAAGCAGGTGCGAGTTTCGCTTTGAATTTCTATTGTTTTTTTATTTGATCTTCGTTTTGAGTTTTCGTTTCTGCAGCTGAACTAGTCCACGTTTCAGGTGTTGTTTAATTTTGAATTTGGTTTATGAACGTTCAATTGGATTTGTGCGATTGGTTTTGTTTTCTCATGAAGAATTCAAGGGAAATCGGATAGGTTAATGGTAGGATTATGTATATTTTATCGACGACTTATCTCAAGTTTAGAGTGCGTATCGAATTGAATTTAGAGCTTTATTTCGACACCCTATTGCTAATTTTGAATCATGATGATTGATATCCTTCCGTGTTCTACCAAAACACCCGAGCAGAAGTAAGAGTTACCACATGGTTTGCCTCGCCAATATTCCTGCTGCAGTCTTGTGATTTTTTTCCTCTTCATTTTGAGATTTTTTCATCTTTTCAGTTTTGAGCCTTTCCTGGTTTAACTGTATTTTGTTTTCCTGTAATAGTTTAAATGGCGCATGTTGAAGAAAGCTTCCCATGTATTCTATTTGCATTTTGCACTAAAGAAACGGGCATTCATTGAGGAAATTCACGAGAAGCAAGAACAGGTATGTGTACGATGGTCTATGTAGTTGTATGGTTGTCTTTGTAATGAGAGACCCTTCTTTTATTGAGAAAAGATGAAAGAATACAACCAACCCCCCAAAAGAAGCCAAACTCAAACAGAAAAGGGCTCCAACGAAGCAAACAAGACCTAAAGTGTAATTACAAAATCCTTTTACACTGAGTCCCAAAGGGAGACATGAAATCGAACCAGGGGCTAAACTTCATCCCAGGACCTCTCAACCTCGCTAAAAAAATCTATTATTTTCAACCTCTCTAAAAGCTCCATAGTTGTATGGTTGCTGTCGATACACAGTGATTTGGTTTGATCACGTGAATTCTTGGGTGTTTAACGCTCTGGTGCTTTTGAAATTTTAGATCAGTTATTGTTAATACAAATGTTTGGGGTTTTGATGTAGTCTTCATTGGAACGTTATATTAAAGGTTAAAGAATGGCTTCAAAATCTAGGAATAGGAGAACACACGACAGTGATCCAAGATGAGGATGGACCAGATGATGAAGCCAATCCTCTGCATCATGATGAAAGTTCTAAAAATAGGTATTTTTCAGCTTTGCTCAAAGCAAAACTGGAAGAGTTTGTTCATGTAGCCTTTTTCAATTGTACGTGAATGCTATTACTCATATGGTTGTATTACTTCATTACAGGGATGTTCCGTCCAGTGCTGCCCTGCCTATCATTCGGCCTGCCTTAGGAAGGCAGCATTCTATGTCTGATAGAGCTAAGACTGCAATGCAAGGGTACCTGAATCACTTCTTGAGTAACATGGATATTGTCAACTCTCGAGAGGTATAGGTGAATCCATTGTATAAGCTCCTTTTGTAGTGAACTTTAATGTTCTTTTTAAAGTCTGTTTATTCTCTTGGATTTTCTTAATGAAAGCTTGGTTTTTTGTGGAAAAAAATGTTGTACGAGTTAAATTGATGATTTTATACTTGATACTACAACATTTAGTCGTCAAGAAATTCATGGGATACTTGACATTGCAGTTGTAGGTAGTTAGTTTAGTCTTGATAAAGTTTCTAGCTATCACCAGTAATAATTTTTATTGGCATTTACTACTGCATTAGTATTTTATATTTTATATTATTATAGAACTGTTTGGTGTTGAGAATCTCTTACTGAAATGAAGTTCTTGTGGGGTACTTGGCAGTTACATCCAAACTGGAACTTTTGGCTACCTTCAAGATGTTTTTTCTCTTCCTTAAAATTTATTTCTATTTACAATTGGTATACTAAGTCGATATTTCTTGAGAATAATTACTTCATTTGTCTTCTGCCTGAGTTGAATGAGTAGTTCTAGGTTTCTAATTAGATTGTTTTTACCCATTATTTAGTAGTTTTTATCTTGATTCACTTTTTCCTCACAAAATGTGGTGCAATAGAATTTTTTGAACCTAATCAAGGGGAATGCAAAGCTTGCGTTAAAGTTGACTACGTTTTGATTCTTTCAACCTCCATTTGGGTGTTTACTTTTTCTTAATGAACCTGTGTATTTTTTTATTTATTTAAAGAAGCCTTGGCATTTATGGGAGGAACTTTTTATCTGATCCTGGTCAATGCTTCATAATGAGCAAGATTCATTTTTATGCTAAACTAAAGATTTACTTTTATATTCAAGATGCCCTAATGCATGTACGTTCATATAGAAAACCACAGATTTACTAGTCTCTGTGTGTAGGATACGTATTTTAATTGTTTGATATTTGACTTTTAAGTCATATTGCATCAAGTGTAAACCATTTTTTCCTCATTTATGATCAATTTTTATTATTATAATTCCTTTTAAATTCATAAACTGTAGGTTTGCAGGTTTTTGGAGGTCTCTAAGTTATCATTTTCACCAGAATACGGCCCAAAGTTGAAAGAGGATTATGTTATGGTGAAGCATCTACCTAAAATTGCAAGGGAAGATGACGCTAGGAAATGCTGCCTATGCCGGTGTTTTGGTTGTTGTAATGACAATTGGCAAAAGGTAAGGGGCTTATTCCTTAGTTTTATGTCTGGGTTTCCTTCCTATGGTGTTTCAAGTGACCAAACAAGTTTGATAGGTTGCATGCTGGCTTCTTCTTATCCTCCTCCTCCTCCTCTTGTATGTTTGTATGTTGAGTATGTCTTGTTATACGTTACATTCTAATGTCTTTCACCTATCATGTGCTTTATACAAGACCTGTATCAAATTGTGAACATGTAATATTTTTGTTTTGACTTGAAGACATGAGAATTTGTTTATTAAGCCTTTATCAGGATTAAGATTCTCCCAGCTTATATGCGATAATTAAATGTTGTCTCTAGGAGCTGAAAGTCTTACCTAATTGTGTCTTCTGTAGCAGAGACCTAAATTTATAGGTATGGTGGTAGCACCATGCCCACACACACAAAACAAAAGAACTCGTGGAGGATGTTCTCTTATTTCTCTCCTTCCATGGAGGTTTTCTTTTAAATGCTTGTTTCCTCTTCCAAGTTCCAACTTTCTTTTATATAGGTTTAA